AAGTTCGGAACCTCCACAAGGTATTGTTAATGAACCCCTTACTCAAGATGATTTGGTTGTTCATGAAGAACAAACTCAAGATCCTCAAGAACCTGTGCATCATGAGCCAATAACTTTGCGGAGATCCACTAGAGAAAGAAGAAGTGCTATTTCGGATGATTACATGGTATTTCTTCAGGAACATGAGGAAAACAATGGTATGATGGAAGATGACCCAGTTAACTTTCGTCAAGCCATGCAAGGTTCTAACTCGAAAAGTGGATTGAAGCAATGAAGGAGGAGTATAAGTCCATGCAAGACAACAAGGTTTGGGAACTTGTCCCATTACCGGAAGGTATGAGACCCATTGGTTGCAAGTGGATATTTAAGACCAAACGGGATTCTAAAGGTAATGTGGAAAGGTATAAGGCTCGTCTGGTAGCTAAGGGCTATACCCAAAAGGAAGGGATTGATTTTAAAGAGACTTTCTCTCCAGTTTCATCGAAAGACTCTTTTAGGACAATCATGGCTCTTGTAGCACATTATGATTTGGAGCTTCATCAAATGGATGTCAAGACGGCGTTTCTTAATGGCAACATTGATGAGACGATTTATATGGTGCAACCGGAAAATTTTGTGCAGGGAGATTCAAAGAGTATGGTTTGCAAACCGACAAAATCCATTTATGGACTAAAACAAGCATCTCGTCAATGGTACTATAAATTTCATCAAGTAATTCTCTCATTTGGCTTCGAGATGAATATTGTTGATGATTGTGTATATCACAAGTTTAAGGGGAGTAAGTATATTTTCCCGATCTTGTATGTTGATGACATTCTACTTGCCACTAATGATACATGCATATTGCACGAAACCAAGAAATTTTTATCAAAGAATTTCGAAATGAAAGATCTTGGTGATGCGTCTTTTGTATTAGGAATTCGGATACACCGAGATCGATGTCGGGGTATTTTGGGATTATCACAAAGGAGCTATATCGAAACAATTCTTAAAAGGTTTGGCATGTATGAATGTAAATCCGGGATACTCCAGTTGCTAAGGGAGACAAGTTTAGTCTCAATCGAGTGCCCAAAGGGAAATTTGGAAATTGAGGAAATGAAAAAGATTCCCTATGCATCACTGTAGGGAGTTTAATGTATGCCCAAGTATGTACGCGTCCGGACATAACATACATAGTTGGGGTTCTAGGCGAGATATTTAAGCAATCCAGGAATGGACCATTGGAAAGCAAAGAAAAGGGTCATGAGATATTTAAAGAGAACACAAGATTACATGCTCACATACGGGAGGTCGGACCGGTTGGAGATCGTCGGGTTTTCCGACTCGGACTTTGCAGGATGTCAAGATAGTTTGAAATCCACTTCAGGTTACATTTTCATGTTAGCAGGTGGTGCGGTTTCTTGGCGCAGTGTCAAGCAAACCCTTACGACTTCATCCACTATGGCAGCGAGAATTTGTAAGCATGCTATGAGGCGTCGAATCATGGAATATGGCTGAGAAATTTTGTCACTGTGGCTGCAAATTGTGAAAGGCATTGAAAGACCACTTAAGTTATATTGTGACAACAAATCAGCTGTATTGTATTCCAACAACAACGAAGTTCGACTAAGTCAAAGCACATCGACATTAAGTTTCTAGTTGTTAAGGAAAGAGTACAAAGTGGACAGATTTCCATAGAACATTTGGGGACAAACTCCATGATAGCAGATCCTCTAACTAAAGGACTTCCGCCTAAGGTCTTTCATGAGCATGTTGCTCACATGGGTGTTTTACAGCTTGAGGAATTTGTGGTTTAGTGGGAGTTAGTCATTTTCATATATTTTATGTTCTATGTTTAATTTTACATATGTATACATTGGTTTTTGGACATATTTGGTTATCTATAGATATGCGGTTTTCTTGTTCATTCATTACACTTTGTACATTAAGGTTATTATATCGATCTCGATAAGTTAAAGTTTGGACCAGTTGAAAATAGACGTGTACAGATCACCTTCACGTAATTTTTCATGCTACACATTTCATGATGAATCCATGTCGTTTGGTTATGTCAGGATGAGTAATCATTGTTGGTTTTACTTGCGATGATGCAATGAAAAGCTGGTTTGGTTCTATATCCTGATATGATTAATGGACAGGACTTTTGGAATATGCTAAAGGAATATAATGACAATTTTGAGCTCATAAAGTCTAACACATTTGTAAGGTTGTAAAGACATATATATTTGTGACCAGTGGGAGATTGTTGGCAAAATTTGGGTCATGTATATATATGATACATATTTAAATGTGTTAGGGTCATTATTTATTAAGTCAAATAATAAAGTGATCTGAATAAATTAAAGTTTTGGCTAAAGGCATATGTCATGAAAATAATATTGTGTAGAGACCATAAAGTAATTTCTAATTTGATGAGGGGCCAAATTGGAAATACTAAAACTTAAGTAATTAACCTAATTTTGGTTATATAAAGGGTCATGGTCCCCTTCGAGAGCACACGAAGAAAAATTCATTTACAGATCCCGTTCTTTTCTTTCTATCCCCATCAAGAGAGAAAATCAATAGGGAAATACAGGTGCTCTTCAGGTGGAAGACCATAAGATCAAATCAAAGGTGCTCTACAAAGAATATCATTATGGATAATTCAGGTACGCTTTCGCATTTAGTTTATAACATGTTTACAGTATGAGATTATATATGTATGTTTGATCATAAGGAAGAAGATCATATTCAATTATAGTTTAACCTTACAATTATTTCTCGATTGGTTATTCTTCTTCTGCTTCCTCTTTATATAGAGAGACTTGACACTCTAAACACTATATCTTTACCTTGAACTTCTCTTAATCTTGTAGAAGTTTTGCTTGAGTATCCATCAAAATCTTTAGCTTTAAAGGAATAATGGTTTGCTAATACTTTATATATATATATATATATATATATATATATATATATATATATATATATATATATATATATATATATATATATATATATATATATATATATATATATGGTATGCATGGTTGAATTTTGAATCATTAGGTATACTTATCCATCTTCAAATATTTTTTTCTAATAATAACAAGATTGAGCTATATATTTTTGCAATAATTTGTTTTAGAAATTGTGCATGAAATTAAATATCAAATTTATAATTATATTTTGATTTATTCTGTAGATTGAACAATATATGACAAAATTAAGTTTCTAATTTGAAGTTTATAATTATATATTGATTTGTTTAATAAATTATAAATATACGATGAAATTGAATCTTAAATTTATAATTATATTTTGATTTGTATTACAAATTGTGCGCATACGGTGATGTTGAGTCACTAATTTCAAGTTTATAATTATATTATGATTTGTTTTATAAATTGTGCAAAACATGTGATTATAATGCTTGTATAATTGTACCATTACACGTGCTTGTCATTAGAAGTCTACAATCACATATTGAATGTTTAATGTTTATGACAAAATATAAATTCAAAATCACATTTTTTTGTTGTGTGTACAAAATATTAAATATCTAATTTAGTATTAGATATTTTATCTCATTAAATCAATATTAAAATATAATTATTCATTATCATCATTTTCTTTAAGATATAATAAAATACTTTCTAGTCATAAAAAATTATTGAAATATAATTTTTTTTTTCATTTTAAAATAAATAAATAACACATATTTTGAAAAAATATTACAAAAATTATTAAAATAAATAAATATTTAAATTTCAGCAAGAATTTTTTAAATTACAAAATTATTTGTAATTAATTTTAAAAAAATTATCTACAATTTCAAAATTGCAAGAAATTAATTACAAAATTTAAATTTGCAGTAGAAGATATTTAGTAGAGTTTCTTGTAAAAATTTCCTGCAATTTTTTTTTTCAGAAGAAAAACTCCTGCAAATGCCTTGTAGAAAAATATTTCCTACAAATTTATGTTTTTTCAGAAAAACATTTCCTATAATTTTTGTTATGTAGAAAATTTGTATGCAAGTTTTTTAAGGTAATTTCGCTTGTAAATTTTATTTTTTCAGGTTAGTCGTGAAATTATCTGTAAATCAAACTTTGTAAGAAAATTCGTAAAAAAAATACTTCCTACAAATTTTAATACAAATTTTACAAAAAAAATATCCCAAAAAAAAAAAAATTTCTAATAGTGATAGAATAATATTGATTCACTTCATGATAACTTCTTTATGCCAGAGTATATTACTAATTATGATTCAAACCCTTCTAAGACGATCTTATTTATATTTTACCTAAAAATATATCGAACGCTAATTCAAGAAAATATTAAGAGCTTATTTGTTTATATATTTTAGAATTTTAGTTTTTAAATATTGGAAAAAATATTCTGATAAATGTTTTATTAAAATAATTTTTAAAAATTATTATCGATTTTTAGTTTTTAAAAACTAAAAAATGAAAAATATTAAAATATATTTTGGTTCTAAGTTTTTTTTGTCTTTAAAATAACTGGGACCTGGGAAGAGGGTGTTTTATTGTTTTTATTAATGACAAAATTATAAATATTTCATACCTAACATTCAAATTGAAAGATATCTTCATCCTTCAAATCTTATAATCTTTGGTTGTGATGAGTTTTTTTATCATTACAAGCTGATTTTGTTAATTTTTTTTATAATTTAAAATCACCTTCAAATTAATTCTCTTATAATATATGATAGACTATTTCACATCTTTTTAAAAAGTTATATCGAAGTTAATATATGTTATTGTCGAAATAAAATTATAATAATATAATTAAATTAATTAAAATCAAAAGTAATAATATTTGTCCGAGCTAAGATTTTTAGTTTTTTTTTTTATGGGTTGGATCTTGAAGTAATCGAATTATTTTTTTTAATAAACTGAATTAAATTAAATTAAATTTTCCCTAATCTAAATCAAAAAGGGAAAAAACCTAAAATTCAGCGGTGGAAGAAGGCCAGCAAGGATAACAGTGGTGGGAAGAGGGAGATGATGTCTCCCACACTCTCACTCTCACTCTCACTCTCATTCTCTTGCAATCCCAAACACACAAACTCGTTTTTCTCTTTTCCTTTGCAGGATTTAGCCAACACTTCTACTCTCAGGCTTTCGCCAAAGCTTCCACTTCGTTGCTCTCAGGTCTTCTCTCCTTCACTTTCTCCACTCTTTACTTTCTAATTTGTCATTTACAACAATTTATATTACGTCTTTGCATTCTTCTCGGAATCTGGAACCTTTCGACCTCAACCATCATTGTCTTATCTATGTCTCAATTTCAATGACTAAACATTTGCAATACAAATGTGCTCAAATTAAATTGTGAATAGCTTATTTTGGAGTGGATTTATTAGATATTTACCGAGTGATGCTCCTGCATTGCATTTGTTAGGGTTTAATTAGGTTTTTTCTAGAAGAATCCAAGAGGGTTTTAATCGGGGGGATGGAATGCTGTTCAAAACTTTGGATTTTACTTTAGCAGGAAAGTAGCTTTGCATCACCACCAGTTGGGCTTGATGAAAGCATCGGGGGAATATCAACCACAAACGACCGCGTTTTGAGCGGCAACAGTTTGGTGAATCGGCAAAATGGGTTAACTCCACTAGTCAGTGCATTGAAAGCTTCTGCAGAGCAAAATGTTGCCAGTTTTCACTTTCCTGGACATAACAGAGGGCATGCTGCTCCTGCTTCCTTGACTCGGCTCATTGGAACGAGACCCTATGTGCATGATTTACCTGAGCTTCCAGAACTTGACAATCTCTTTTGTCCCCAAGGCCCAATATTAGAAGCGCAGACTGAAGCAGCCAAACTGTTTGGATCGTCACATACATGGTTTCTTGTTGGAGGTACTACTTGTGGGATACAGGCAGCCATTATGGCTACCTGTTCCCCGGGAGAATTTCTGATTCTTCCAAGGAATTCCCATATATCAGCTATATCTGCTATGGTATTGTCTGGTGCTGTGCCTAAGTACATCGTTCCTGACTATGAAAATAATTGGGACATTGCTGGTGGTGTCACTCCATTACAGGTGATTCAGATGCTGTCCACTATCATATTGTACTAACTCTTATGAAAATTTACTGACAAATAAAAATTGCATACAAGCAGATGGTCTGAATAGAATTGTCATATTCATTGAAGAAACAATCTGAATAGCTTTTTTTAACTCTTCGACATAAGATGAGCCATTGTTCTGGATCTCTGACTTTTTACTTAATACTAGTCGTACACTTTTGGTAATCTTATCTATTTCTCACTTTTTTTCTGTGGATGGGCTGACTGGATGGTTTTGCAGGTATTGAAAGCCATCCGGGAATTAGAAATGGAAGGGAAAAAGGCTGCAGCAGTCTTCATCACTTCGCCTACTTATCATGGTATTTGCAGTAACTTAAGTGAGATTTCCGAGCTGTGTCATTCTCGAAAAATTCCTTTGATTGTTGATGAAGCTCATGGCGCACATTTTGGATTTCATTCTGAACTGCCAAAGTCAGCCCTCCAGCAAGGGGCTGATTTGACTGTACAGTCCACTCACAAAGTTCTCTGCTCTCTTACTCAGTCATCTATGCTGCACATGTCGCGAAATATTGTAGATAAGGAAAATATTGATAGATGTCTCCAAACTCTTCAAACCACAAGCCCTAGCTATCTGCTTTTGGCATCCCTGGATGCTGCCAGAGCTCAACTTAGTGAAAGACCTGATGTTATATTCAACCAAGCAATTGCATTAGCTTATGAAGCAAGGTATACGCTAAAACCAATCCCCGGTATATCAGTGCTTGAGAATTCAAGCTTTTCAACCTTCCCTGCAATTGATCCATTGCGTCTCACTGTAGGCTTTTGGAAGCTTGGTTTATCGGGTTATGAAGCAGACGAAATTTTATACAGAGATTATGGTGTTGTCTGTGAACTTGTTGGGAATAAATCTATTACTTATGCATTTAATATTGGGACTTGTAGGGACCATGTCCAAAGACTTCTATTGGGAATAAAACATTTGACTGCAACATATGCTTCCATTCAGCACCGTGTAGAGAAAGTGCATAATGTTCATGCACCCTTTGATGATATAATCATGAATTTGATCCCTAGAGATGCCTTTTTTGCTAGCAAAAGAAAAGTAACAATAAGGGAGAGCATCGGTGAGATTTCAGGGGAGCTTATATGTCCATACCCTCCGGGCATACCAGTATTGATCCCCGGTGAGGTTATCACCGAAAAAGCTGTTGATTATCTTCTATATGTTAGGAGTAAAGGTGCTGATATTAGCGGGGCATCTGATCCCTTACTTTCTTCAATAGTTGTCTGCAACTTATAGCAAATCAGCTGGTGAGAAGTTCCTTGAAGTTAAAATTTCCCATGAGGCCTTTGATGTTCGCATCACACCAAATGGTTATTTTACAGTTGACAGATTTACACATCTGAAGAATTTACCGAGTTGTTGGCAAATAGTAAAGGCTGAATTGTTGGTAACATTGTCTCATTTTAATGGATAAGAATGAAATAGTACTGATTTTTTATCTCTTGAAAATGCCACCGGATTCCTAGGTGTTAAACATAGGCCGGAATCAATGGGAAAGATATATCGTGAGTCATGACACTGGGCAATTAAATGCTAATCCTTAGCGAAGGACCGGAACTATGGGAAGACCCAGAAGAAGCAAACCAGCATCAACCTGGCCACAATCATAAATATTGAAAGAAAATGACAACTAATTTGATTTTACTTGTATATTTAGTTAATTGGAAAAATTGATTTCGAGAATGTCATGGAGAAAAGGAAGAATTAATTTCAGAATTTTTCATGATATTTTTATGCCATTATCGTTATGGTGACAGGGAAATTGAAAAGTTAGTGCCAAATACCAGGATCAACTACTAATGCATAAGTTCATCCTGGTCCTCAGAAATTGCTTCTGTTTTAAATTTTCAAGATTAGTTAAGCCGTATGAGATATAAAAGTCAAGATTGTTTCATGCAGGTATTTCTTGGACGCTGAATCGATTCATGTGTTATTTTTTAATCAAGATTGTGTAGATCAGTTGTCTTGCAGCGGTGGTGAATATTTTGTATTTTGGGTTACTTTGCTGCTATTTTAGTTTAGATATAGTGGTGGGGTACTATGTTGTTACTTTATAGTGCTGTTCAGTGCTATTTTCCTGGGTTACTTGGTATTTTAGGTTATTTTCTCAGTAATCAAGTGCATGGCGAGGACGATGCGGTTCTTGTATGGTCGTGGCTGTAGAATTGATTTTAAATCACCATGATTTTATAGAACTTAATAAACAAAATGTAATCCCAGTACCCAAAACTCATAAAAGCAGAAAAAGGATGAGGAAAAAAAAAGTAAGTAGTGATGTGTAATGACTAAAACAAAATCTTAAATATTTGAGAATGAGATGATATATATTTATAATAATAATAAAATTAAAGGGTAGAATAATAGAAAGTGATTATAATGACAAAAAATATGTTTTTGTTATAGATATGATGCAATCATGAGCCTTCTCAAGTTGGATATGAATATTGGTTATTTCCAACTTGAAACAAATATTCTGAAACATAGCGGAAAAAAGAGATTTTGTGTTAATGTCAACAATGTGTGAGGAAGAAGAGACCAGTAGCAGTTTAATTAAACCATTATTGACTTTTTATCGGATAATATGATAGGTTATATCAATGTGTTTGGGATGATCATGAAATACTTGGATGGAAGCAACTTGAAGTATATATTGTTTGTTATAAAAAATCAAAGCTGAATGTGTGAAATGAAAATCAATGTCATTTAATAAATATATCAGACACTGAATATCACAAGTAGTCAAGATTAAAACGCGATATTCAACTTCAGAAAAGTTGCATGAGACTGTTGGTTACTTCTTGGAATGCTAGGAGATGAGAGAGTTACCAAGTTAAATGGAGAAATAATGTCGTGATTCAGGATACCCAGTCCAATTAGAATCCCTAAAAGCCTTGAGCTGGGTGGTATTGGAATCCATGAGACATAACCTAGACTTTGTTTTAGATAACATAAAACACGAAAAACAACTTGATGGTGATAGATTGTATGTTCAGAGATGAATCGACTAAGGTGTTGTACAACAAAAACAATGTCTGAACATGTAGTGGTAAGGTAAATGAGTCGTCCAATCAGTCGATATACAAAAGATCAAACAGTGGTGTACCAATGGTAACATGTAGACGATTAGAGTAAATCATGAGTGTAGATGCTGGTTGGGAGACAAGCAAGCCATTGTCAAAAAGGAGATCAATGGTATATTTACATTGACTTGACATAGGTGTATGTCAGAAGGGCTACGGGCAACTTCGAGGTCCAAAAAGAATTACAAATTACCAAGGTTCTTATCTTGAAGGCAGAGTCAAGTAAATAGGTGATGTGAGTAATTGCTACAATATTGTTTCATGCTAGAACAATGTCATCCACATAAATGAGGAGAATAATAAGTTGATGATTGTTTGTAACCATCGGATAAAAGAAATGAGGAGAGTCGCACAAACCACTGACGACTGGCCTGCTTAAGGCCATAAGCACATATTGTTTGTCATAAAAAATCAAAGTTGAATGTGTGAAATGAAAACCAATGTCATTTAATAGATATGTCAGTCAATGAATATCACAAGTAATCAAGGTTAAAACGCGATATTCAACTTCAGAAAAGTTGCGTGAGACTGTTGGCTACTTCTTGGAGTGCTAGGAGATGAGAAAGTTACCAAGTTAAATGGAGAAATAGGTAATATAATGTCGTGATTCAGGATACCCAGTCCAATCAGAGTCCTTAAAAGCCTTGAGCTGGGTGGTATTGGAATCCGTGAGACATAACCTGGACTTTGTTTTAAATAACCTAAAACACGAAAAACAACTTGATAGTGAGAGATTGTATGTTGAGAGACGAATTGACTAAGGTGTTGTACAACAAAAGCAATGTCTGAACATGTAGTGGTAAGGTAAATGAGTCATCCAATCAATCGACGATATACAAAAGATCAAGCAGTGTTGTACCAATGGTAACATGTAGACGATTAGAGTAAACCATAGGCTTAGATGCCATTGTCGGAAAGGAGATCAATGGTATATTTACGTTGACATAGGTGTATGCCAGAAGGGATACGGGTAACTTTGAGGTCCAAAAAGAATTGCAAATTACCAAAGATCTTATCTTGAAGGCAGAGTCAAGCAGAGATGTGATGAGTAATTGCTACAATATTGTTTCATGCTAGAATAATGTCATCCACATAAATGAGGAGAATGATGATTGTTTGTAACCATTGGATAAGAGAAATGAGGAGAGTTATGCAAACCAGTGACGGTTGGCCTGCTTAAGGCCATAACGAGAATGTTGGAGTCGACCAACCTGACCGAGCTGAGAAGCAGTCAAGCCTAGTGACAATTGTTTATAAATTTCTTTATTAAGATCACCATGAAAGAAAACATTGTTAACGTCTAATTGCTTGAGGTGTCAATGATGAATGATAACAAGTGCAAGGACAAGACAAATGGTCGTAAGTTTAGTAACAAGAGAGAACGGATCAAGAAAGTCAAAACCTTCCATTTGGATGTAACCTTTGGCAACAAGACGAGTTTTATATCTCTCAATGGAACCATCAACATTTTGTTTAATCTTATATATCCAACGACATCAAATGATTGTTTTATGAGGAGGAAGAGTGGTGAGAGACCAAGTATTATTTGCTCTGAGAGCAGTGATTTTAGCTTGCATAACTCTAATCCAATAATCATATTTGGAGGCTTCAGTATATGAACGAGGCTCAAAGGCAGATGATATGGAAAAAATAAAATGTTGAAAGGAGGGTGAAAGATGTTCATAAGAAAGAGAATGTGCAAAAGGATAGTGGATACTGGAGAAGAAGATGGTCTAGTTGATGTAAAAGTGCTGTGGAAATCTTGAAGGTAAGTGGGCGTTAATGAATATGCGTGGATCGTCTTAGAGGAGGAGATGATTGATCAGTAGAAGAGGATTGATTAACAGGAGGAGGGGACTGATCAGTAGGAGGAAAGGACTGATTAGTGGACTCAAAGGAAAAAAGATGAGTATTTGGTAAATATAATGATGGTGTGGGTGGGGGATTGGAGAAATATGGAAAATAATTCTCAAAAAATGACATGTTGGATGTTTCAACAGTATGAGTGTGCAGATCACAGAGGAGATATCCTTTGGTGTGTTGTTTGAAGCCAATAAAAATGGAAGGGTGAGCTCATGGATCAAGTTTAGTGCAATTAGTAGTGATAATACTATTGTAACACAAACAACCGAAAACACGAGGTTAGAAATGTCACATGGACGGTGATAAAACTTTTCATAAGGGGATATGTTATGCAAGAAAGGGGTGAGAATGCAATTAATTAAATAGACGACATGAAGTAAAGAAAAATACCAAAAAAATGGTGGTAAATTTGATTGTAAAAGTAAGGTTCATGTAACATTTAATAAATGTTGGTGTTTTCGTTCAACAATTCCATTTTGTTGGGTGTTTCTATGCATGTGGTTTGATTAATGATGCCTTTAGATATGTGGTTTGATTTTTTATATGAGTGATAAAATTGATGATATGTGTTTGTATTTCACTTTTGGAAAATATTAAATAGACTCATGTAAAACGTGTGTGATCATCCACAATTATTAAAAAATATTTGTGTCCATGTACAAATAATTTTGAACATGATCCTCAAATATCCATATGCAACTGGTCAAAAGGTTTAGCTGCATGAGAATTGTTCAATGGAAAAAATAATTTCTTTTGTTTTGAGTGGTGACATGTATTACAAACAAAAATTCTATCATTAGATAAACAAGGATAACATTGTTTCATAGACTGTAGATGAAAAGAGACAAAGAAAGACCTCTCAAAAGCTGGTGCTTAGGCAGACCTAGGTAAGAGCAACCTTTCTCTTATATAGGAAAGCACTATTGCCACTTTCTTATGTGAATACCTCCTGAATCTCACTCTTTAGTGAAAGTCTCTATTTCACTTTCAAAAAGCAGTCTACACAAAACATAGAGGTACTTTTTCCACTTCGCATATGAGCTTTATATTGATGACCCAAACAAAAATGTCTAAGATCAATAGCTAAATATTTACATTGAGGATGAACAATACTGAACAAAACAGATGAGGAAATAATAGGTTTGAGAATAAGTTTGTAGAGTCCACCATTTACATTAGTTGTACCAATATGCTTCTTGGTAGTCACATCCTATATAATACAAGAATTAAATGAAAAAGTCAAAATACAATTAAGGAAATTCACAAATTTAAAAATAGAAATGAGATTAAAAGTAAAATTGGGAATCTAGAGAACATTAACTAAATAACAGGAATCACAACTCCAAAATGATTAATTGTAACATGTTGATCAGCAACAACTTAACAACTGCACGATCAATTTTAACTTAAGAACGAAAATTATCAAGTGAAGAAGAGACATGATTGGTAGGTCTCGAATCTAAAATCCAAGGGATTATAGACTTAAATTTACCTTATTGATCAAAGGAAGAATCAATACCAATTTGGTTGATGTGGGATGTATTGGGAGCTGAAGATCTAGACTGAGATTGTTGAATTAAAGTTAGCAGTGCTTAATACGGTTGAGGAGAGAAGTAAAATTCTTGGTTCTCATGATTTTATTTGTGATTTGTAGTGACTCTACTTTCACTAGTCACTAGACTTAAATTTACCTAATTGATCAGAGGAAGAAATAGTATCAATTTAAATTATGTGAGATGTATTGGAAGTTGAAGATCCAAACTGAGATTGTTGAATTAAAGTTAGCAGTGCTTAATACTACCGAGGAGAGAAGCGAAATTCTTGGCTCTTATGATTTTGTTTGTCATTTGTAGTGATTTTACTTTCACTAGTCACTATGCTATTGCTGAGAGCGGTTTTATCACCATTGTAGAGTTTGTGTCCTAGAGGGAAACCATATAGCACACGTTAACTATGTGCCCTATATGTCCACAATGAGAACAAAACTTAGTATTGCGATTAATAAATCCTTTACTAATTTTATCTTTGGTGTCAGATCCTATATTGATGAAGAAGTTGTTCCTTGTAAGTTGTTTCTCTTGTTGAGACACAAAAAAAATTTTCTAGAAGAGATGGTAAATGATCCATGACAAGAACATGTAAACGAATATTACTGTTCGTTTAATCCCCCGTAAAATTTGTATAACTCAATATTTAAGTTTTCGTTGAACAGATATAGACAAAACAATACAAGTGCATTTGGATTGACAGATACACACTTGATCTGGTCTAAAATTTGCAAGTTTGTCCCAAACAACTATCAGCTTAGTAAGATATTCACTAACGTTAAGCTCACCTTGAGAATATCTGGACTTCAAATCCTTCCAAATTTCATCTTCTTGATCTATCCATAAGATTCTTTGTCGAATTGAGAAAGAAATAGAATGAACAATCCATGACACAACTATATTATTGTATTAACGTCATGTTGCATACGTTAATTTTGAGTTTGGTGGTTGAGGATCATTATCATCAATGAATTCAACTTTGTTTTTAGAAGTAAGAACAATGATCATACATCTACTCCATGAGTGATAATTACTAGAATGAAGGACAAGTGAAACTAAGGCAATTGTTGGGTTCTCACTCGGGTATAAAAACATGTAGCTATTAATATTAGGAATATGTTATGTATTTCTATTCATGATGACATAGAAAGATGAGAGTATGCAACACAATTCTCTTCAATGGAAGAACTCTGGTATCATAATAAACATAAGATCAAATGTAATTCTTGTGCACTATTATGCCAAAAACTCATAAAGAAAAAAAAAAAAAGAAAAAGGAAGAAACGTATGTAATGAGATGCCACAAAATATTATGTATGAAGAGTGAGACGATACATATTTACCATATTAATAAAATTAAGGAGCACAATAATAAAAAATGGTTAGAACAAAAAAAAATGGAGGTATAATACTATGCAATTATGTTAAAAAAATATATGATTTTGTTAAATATATGATTAGTTATGAGATTTTTGGTAAATGTAAGTTTTTATTTTTGATAGCAAATATTAGATTGTCTTAAAATTGACTTTTGGTGTATGATTACTATAATGAATGTATTTTGTGTTGCTATTTACCAGGATAATATCAACAATAAACAGAGGGATATATGCACTGACCGAGTGTATTTTTGTTCTGTTTTTATTGGAAGAAGAATCTGTGCTTTCTCTCAAGGAATTCTCATGTATTACTATATCTGCTCTCTTCATTTTCTGCTCCATGTTACAAGCGAAGGTGCAGAAATTAGTGCAGCTTCTCACTCCTTTCTTTCATCACTACTTGTTTCCGGTGAATTATCAGCTGGGAAGAAGCGCGTTTATTAATCTAGTTATTTTGAATTGTGGGAAATTAAAATACAAACTCATTTTGCTCTTCAACATAATTAATCATAAAGTACCTGATGTCTCATGCAGTCATAAATATAAAAAGTATGACAATAAATTATGAATAAATTTTATTAATATAATATTAAAAAATACTTAAAATTATAAATTTTAATATAAAAAAGTTGTCTTATGATATAGTTATTTTTAATATTTATATTTATATTTTTTCTCTTATTTCCTTTATTTCTTATTATTCTTTTTTAGTTTCTATATTCTTCTTTTCTCTCTCCTTTTTTTGTTTTTCTTTACTTTTATGTTATTTTTTAATTAAAAATATTATATTAAAATTTGATAAAATGAATATTTTATTATTTAAAAAAATATTTAAATTATCCAAAAATATTATAATTTAACATATTATATTTGAAAAAAAATAATATAAAATAAATTTGAGATATTATAAATATTATTGTTATGTTATAATTATTAAAAAAATTAAATATTTATAAATAACTTTTTAATAAATATTTTTTTAAAATTATTTAATTTGACTAATCAACATTATTTCACATAATTATAAATAGATTAAATCACTAAATAAAAAATATATTTAACTTATAAATATTTGATATTTTTAAATTAGATGAGTAATTGATTTATTATGATAAAATAATTTTAAATTAATTATTTATTGTTATAATAAATAAATTATTTACTGTTATCTTAATTTTAAATAATTATTTGATATTTTTTAATTTTAATATTAATTTTAAAAAAATTATTCTAACATATTTTTATTTAAATTCATGTTTTAACATAATAATTTTAATTAGAAAAATAAATGAAAGATGAGAAAGAAAAATAATAAAAAAATAAATAAATGAGGAGAGAGAAAAAAATAAAAAATTTATATAAAAAAATCAACTTGAACAATATGAAAAAATTCTATTTAAAATATATTATTTATAGAAATTTTTATAATATTTTTTATTAATATTTAGGTCATAAATAAACTTAGGTGATTATTTGATTAATTAATTGTTAGCTTTTGTAATAGTAAAATATTGAAAATTGTCTCGTATTTCTTTGATGCTAACATAGGGAAATAAGCAAAAGTTTGGAATTGGACCGTGGACCGAACTGGACCCCACATAATTGCCACAAAACCTAACTAAGGGATAAGAGATCGGCATTATTCACCAGTCTTATGTGGAAGAGAGACACGACGTGAACATGAACAATAACATGATGATGGCTTCCAAGACCAATTCCATAGCATTTGGAGTTCCTTCTTTTACAACATGCCCGTTTGCTAGAACTGGAACTAGAACCTGCTGCATTCATGTTCTTGCCATCCCAAATGCAAAATCCAGACACACTATATCTCTCAGTCTCAGTTTGTTCAAGAGGAGGAGGTACTCAATTGCTTCACTCACCACTACTTCTTTGTGAATTATACTTACAACTTTATTGCCTTTTTGTTTTGTTTTTTTGTTCTTCCATGCAGCTTAGGTATTTTTCCTAGTCCCACTGAAACAACTCTTGGACATCTCAACACACCAATTTCAGCCCTTAATTCAGGTGACTTTTGGACCCATTTTCCTCTGCTGGATTTCAAATATATGAATGGATGCTCTAGAGAGTTTTATGCGCATAAAATGGGAAAAATAATAATTACCAACCTTAATGTGTTCTGCATTCAAAATTTCTACGCTAAACTCTTCGAGCTTTACAGCCTTCAATGCATGTATACCCGTTTTTGCTGTGGATTTTAGCTATTACTGTCGTAATATTTATATGTTGTGCTTTTGTATTGTAGGTTTAGAAGCATCAATTACAGATTCCAACGAAATTTCAGCTATCTTAACAAATGCCAAAATAGTGCTAGATTCCGAAGATGAAAATAAGATACAAGTGAGCAAGCTACAAATACTTGGTTCCAATGTAGAATTGCTATCTGCCTCTTTCAGGAAATTATCTCATGTTTCTTTATGTTCTCATACTATGTTCCCAAATTGTATCTCCATAGCTTTTATTCTCTGTTTCTCCTGATATTTTCTTCTATCTCTCTGTACAGAAGTGTCATTGCTGTATCCCATAGAGTACAATGATGAAAGATGCGATTTGTTAGAAGTATAAAAACAAATGTTGTATATTTTCCAAGAGAGGAAAATGTTTGTCTCTAGATTCATTTTTCTACTGGCTTTGTTGAGCATTCAGTTCTTAGATAATATTTAATATACCGATGCACCATTTATGGTACTGAAGAATAATGAATTTTCCAATCAAGTTCATTAATTTGATAACCTTGAAGAACTAGCCACAGTTAAAGCCTTAGATGGTCTTCATGCTCAATAGGTCCAGCAAAGTCTTCCCTGCTGTATTTTAGTTTGTTTCTGTCGTGATAATGTACTTCATCATGTTACTTTTGTTTATACAAGCAGGTCAAAATTGAAGCTAATATTGCCGCAAACATAATTTTTTTTGTTGTTGTTACAGAGATTGCTACTAGCATACAATGCAATCTGCAGCCTCAGATTTACACAAAACATGGCTAGATATATGACTATAGCAAGCTTTTTCCGTTACCCTTTAGTTTTGCCCCTACTATCATCTATTATTATTTTTTTGCTGGAGTGTGAATTTCTATAAGTTACTGCATCATGTCAATTTTATGTTTTCATTTCCCTGTACCCTATTACTTTTTGGTTTGATGCTGTGATAACTATCTTATGGAATAAATGGCAGCTGAGAGTGGACTTGACTGGTGATCAAACACAAAAGGTATTCGATAGGATCGTAACAAACTTAAGTCGTACTGCCCCACCAGTTCCCGGATTTCGCATGCAAAAAGGAGGTAAGAACCAAGAAGCAGCACCATTGATAAAGATTGATACCGTGCCCTTTCATACCCTGAACCCAATTGGTTATTACATTTTCACTTTCAAGCCCAATTATGATTCTTACATTGCAATACGTGCCAAGAACCCACATGAGCTTAACTTTTGGCATTTGCTACAAGATTTAGCCTCATTCAAGTCCCTTATCCTCAAGAGTTGCTTGAACACAAGGTGTTATGTTAGCATTTGCCTACTACATTCCACACTTACTAAAAAACTGATAACCATGAAATACCATTATTACTACAAGATATGAAGGTCTTTCTCTTTCCAAGACTTGGCCAAATAGTAACCGTTTTATTTGCATTTCGTATTTTCTTGCTGAACTAAGGCTTGTCAAATGACCAGCATATCCTTCACATTGGTGGTCTTGATCTTGGTTTTTACGTGACTGTTTTACCAACTGGATGGCCATTTTCAGACTTTCTTTTTCTGTTAGTGAGAAAATCCACCTTGTGGGGTTTCACTGGTTGACCCTCTCTATTGTAGTCGTTCAGCTGTCTCTAAGACTGATACCAAATATGCAATCCAATGATGAGAGTAGTGGGAAAAGAAAGGAAACTGGATTGTCATTTTACTCTTCACAATTACACTGTGAGGCGCTTCCTTTTCAAATTCAATACATATTTCTTGCTGTTGATATGATTTTTACTTGTGATTCATTTTCCTGTTCATCGTAGTTCAGTATTTTAACAGCATAAGAATTTGCAGTTCATAAATTTTAACTGTATTATTGAATTGTGCACGTGATGTCCAAACTGCTCCAGGAAAATCATCAAAGGTGAGTCATTCCCAATCAAGTTTTTTTTTCTTCTTTTTGTATACATGCGATGAATTATTATCTTTTCATCTATAAATTATTTTCTCCTATGCAACGTTGTTAATAACATCATGTAATTAAAACGCAATCATTGAACACTCAGATGATTAGATTTTTCTATCAAATATCTTACCCAATAATTAGTTAGCCCTCGAAAGAAAAAATGGAAGGCCTCTTTGGCACTGAATACAACAGAAAATCCATATATCATTATCATATATGCTTTTTCCTCAAAGATAACCTCGTTAGGAAATGCATGCAGATCCCAAAGGACTTCCTTGTTCAGATGCTAGGGGAAGAACGTGTTATCAAGTTTGCAATACAAGAAATACTCAACTCTACCATGGCTGATTATGTGAAAAAGGCAAGTGAGTTTTACCACTTCGTATGTGGGTGTCATGAATATAAGCTTATTTCTACATTTGATGACACAGGAAAATATTGATGGAGAGGACTTGAAGATAAGCACTACCCAAACGGTAGAACAACTCCAAAAGTCGTTCACTCCAGGAAATGACTTTGGGTTCAATGTTATAATGGAACCTGAAAATTCGGAAGATTCTATTTAACTTGTTATGGGGGATCTAGTTGTTGTGCATAACCAGAATGAAAGTGAATGAGTGCATAACCAGAATGACAGTGAATGAGGCAACGTGATTTCTTTTCTCTCTATGATATATAGCTTAAAGAGTTGTTTTAATGTTCAGTTTGGTGTACGAATAAAAATTTGCTGCAATATTCTATTATGAGCCTTGCAAGAAAAAATGTGTAAGAAACTCATCTTTAGATTTTTCATCCTGATTTTAAAGGGATTACCAAAGTGACCCGAGTTGTATATTACTGACTTCTAGTGTGAAATATTACAAACTTTGCATCTTTTAGATAGCCTTTTTAGTTTGGGACTTATCAAATGATGAGCATCATTTTTTTATGACCATGTGAGTCTGTGTTTCACTCAATTTAACGTACCTATATGTTCTTGAATTACCTGATTTCCTCAGAGGATCAACATAATTTTACATGTTATGTGCCAAGTCCCCAGTCAATAACTCCGGACTAGATAGAAATAGACTAGTTATGGGGATTGATTGTGAATGTCAAGAGTGAATACAAAGACATTAACAGTTAAATGGGTACATTTTCCTTCACATACAAGTTGAAAATATGTAACTTAAAAAAGGTTTTCATATGGCCCAATGATGGAGTCACGAAGATTGGAGAATAGACCATAGAGGGAGTACTGCCGTAGATTTTGCACTTCATACCAGGAATTTAGAGCATCAAGATTCTTGTCAGTCCCTGAGAATGTCAATTGTATGCCTATGTTGCAGACACTCGCTCCATTTTTTTTACACTCTTTGTTAGGCACTGCACAGTCTTGTTGATTCAGGCAACTACTTCCTTTAGGACATGAATCACAACCGAAACTCTTCCAATACAAGTTTTGAAGGGTCCCCTCTTGAAATTCAAGAACCTGTTAATCAATCAATATTCATTCAAAGTTACATTTCTAGAACTGGTCCAATCCTAGAGAAGCCAAATCTTGAGCAAGTCAATTCAATTTACCAGAGTGAAACTAGTAATTGTGTGACTGTTGTCAACAAACATAATAGGTAGGGACCTTGCTGCATATTTCTTCCCAGCGAATGCAACCATAAATCCATTTTTTCCCTGATAAACTCACAAAATTAATAGAGAACTATCAACCAAAACTTTGCTAAAAGAATATGCGGCTGCAGGACCATTCAGCTTTGAAATCATAACAAAGCAGAAATATTGTACAAACGAAAACCATACAAATCATCAAAACTTCAAGGAATTCTTCAAACTTATGCCAGGTAATATTGTATACATACCCTAAAATCGATGCTATCAATCATATTTAACACTTGTATCTCAGATGTCGTTATCAAATGCAATGCCCCCATGACTGAATTTATACAACTACCAGAGACATGATAATGAAAGGAACTAGAAAGGGAAAGAATTTTATAAACCAAGTCAAACACTCCAAACAAATCATTCTCACAAGTATGGCTGATAACATCTCGTAACTCCTATCCATGAGTCATACACAAAACATTCAATTGTGAGTCATGATAACATAAAATTGCATACCGGATCTAAGGTACTCCTGTTAATGGTAAGTAGGGAGATCTCATCAACCTTAGGCCTAAAAACAGCAAGCTGTGCTCCTTTATTTGTGAGCTCTAGGCGTTTGTCACAAGGTGAAAGCTGAGGACCATTATCCGGGTATAAAATTTGCTTATCAGAAAATGCAATACCAAACGTAAAACCATCTCCTTTCTGAACTTTAGCATCAAGACATGGACTATAAACATCATTTGTATCAGCTGCATCAACAACAAACATAGCCATCACAGCAACGACCACCACCCGTTTCACCAAATCTTCGCTCCTCATCTTGGACATCACAAAAACTTCACCCATCCCCATCTTCAAAAGCATGATCATTTTCTGAGCAAAAAGAAAAAAGTTTATTTTTCCGGGTCAATGCATGAGGACAGAAAATTAAAGAACAAATTTTTGGTGATAGAAACAAAGTGGTATCAACCTTTGCATTTTAAGTCACAAGAATGAAAAGAACGTGTAACAAGGTTCGTGAGTTAAGGATTTATACGGGGCACGGTAATCCAAAGTATAATATGATATAAATTAAACAAGTATTAACATGGGAAAATGTATTCAAATAAAAAGATAAAGATAATGATAATAAATACTTACAAAGGAAGAAACTAATCTGCACCTCAGAAATGAAGATTACGAATTTTGGATTTTAAGAATGTTAAAGAGATAGAAGGTGAGGGTTGGCGTGTCTGTGATTCCAAGACATGGAAGAAGGTTAACTAATCCAGCGAGGAATGATGATCTGGTCACAAACTTGTTTCAGAAGGTTATGGAGGTTGGCTTTTACCAGATGTTGGTAATTAAAACACTATCTGTTTGTCACATTGAATTGCCAATTTCTCGGAGAAAACCAGAGCAAACAAATGTTGTCTTAACAAGAGGATGCATAAATTTAGATAATGTGAAAGCTGTCTGTTAATTTTTTTCCAGATTGGTCTAGAAATGTATTAGGCTTTGTCAATTTGTACCTTATGCTATTTTGAACGGGAAGAAGTAAAAATAAAAATACAAATTATGAAATATTTTTATTCAATTTTAAAAATAGATAAAACAAAAAATGATTTATAAAAATACAAATTTAACTTTTTATTATATTATTGCTCAGAATTGGTATAATATACTCCCTCCATTCAAATTGGTGGCCTTTTTAGCACAAAAAATTTGATATTGATTTACCTGTTTTCAGTATTAATAAAATATTAAGTTTTTTTTTCTTTCAAATTTTGCCTCCTAGTAAATATTATTGTTTTGAAATACTTAATGTTTTAATAAAATTAGCTTTTAATAAAACTATTATCTTGTAATAATCATTAAGTTTTGAATGTGTGTAAAAATATTAATCCATATAGTTATATTGTATAATTTGTAATTAAATCAGAAATTAGTGCTCACATAATTTAAGAGAGAATTGTGTAAAATAAGGGGATTATCAGTGAATTTTAATATTATTGTTAGTTGTTTTGTAATTACATGCGTTTGTGCGTCCCCATTTATTATTATTATTTTATAAAATATTTTTTTATTTATAATTTCAGATAAATGACACAAAACCTGAAATTGAGGGTGTATTAAGAAGAGAGAGGAATGACAATTTTGGAAAAAAAGAGAAACATACAATTAGAAAGAGGAATCCATTTATATATTGTTATAAATATTATATATGTAATTAAGTAATTTAAAATTTTGTATATTTGAGAGTTGATATTTAATATTATATATTATTATACTTGCTCGTAAAATATTTCCACCCAAAATGGTTATATTAAAGTATTATTTTCATTAATAAAATTTAAATATAAATATATTACTTAAAAATTATTTTTATAGCTAATATAACTAAGTAATATGAATTATAATTTTAAAAAAATTAATAATTTATATTACTATTGAATAGTTTTAAATTTTTCTCTTATATGAATACTATTTAAGTATATTTTTTTAACTATATATCATATTAAATATTTTTACATTTTTATATTTAATTGTTATGGTTAAAGCTTCATTAAGTGAGTTTTACTTTTAGTTATAATTATATTTACTACATCCATTGTTTTTATTTTTAATTCTCATTTTTAGTCACATGATACCATAATAATATCATATTTATATTTCTGTCTTTTCTATCTATTTCTTCATCTCAATGCTTATCTACTAACATGCCATGTACGTGCATGATTTTCTATTCCTTATACGTTCCAACATACAGTGTACATGAATGCTTTTCTTACTTTCATATACATGAACCCACTTACTACTCTTACCTTGTGGTGGACCCATTTATGTAACTTCACTATTCAAAATTTCTATTTTCATCTCTGTTCTTCTATCAGAGTATGGTCCCCGTGACAATGAGAGACTTTTCATTCTATCAAAAAGCTTTAATCATACAAGGAAATGGCAGGGAAATGTGGCAGATGGATTATCATCACGGCAACCCAGTGTTCTTCATTATCATCAACAACACCAAGTTACAGGTGATGTGATCTTTTTCTTTAGATTGTTCTCATGCTGCAGATTTTTTTTTTTTTTTTTTTTAAGTTTAAAAGGGATTGTGTTTTGGTTTATATTAAGTTGAGTCCTCATCATGTGTAGAATTAATGTAGTATACTGGTTTCAAGTTTAGTGTTCTTTGTCATATATAACTTGCAGAAAGTGCCTGAGGAGTTTCTGAAGCATTTGAATGAAGATTTGCCAAATGCAGTTCTTATTGGTCCTTCTGGTGATAATTGGCAAGTAACTATTTTGAAGGAAGGAAATAACTTGTTTATGCAAAATGGTTGGCCACAATTTCTGACAGACAACTCAGTAGTGCTTGATGATTTCTTGCTTTTTACATATCATGGAGGGAACTGCTTCCATGTTCAAATTTTTTGTAAGAGTGGATTGGAGAGGCTATGCCTCAAAGAAACAAGACAAGAACAAGTTGTCATCCCAAGTTTGGTGAGGACTAAGAAGAGTGCACAGAGAGTACCATTTGCAAGTTCATTCCTCCACAGATCCAGGTCTCGTCAAAAAGGTAATTTCTCACACATATGTTTTGAGCTTTCTATTCAATTGGTTTAATGTTTTGAAAAGAAGAACATGTAAACAACATTATAAATTTGAGCTTTGTATTCCTCTTAAACCAAAAAAAATATCTGAAATCTTAAATTTTGTTTTATCTATGTGATAGATCTGTCTCTCCGCAACAAGTTTTCACTTACTAAGGGTTTTTCAAAGCTAAAGAGTTCAATTAAAATTGAAAACTCAGAAGCATGCAACTTGGCAGACACTTTTACCTCTCGCAATCCTCATTGGAAGCACCTCATGACTAAATGCAATGTGGAAGATCACTGCACATTGGTAAATATAAATTTATTTTCTGCATTAGGGTGCCACTAGATCGAGTGACAAGCTGAAATTAAAATGCAAAACCAAATTCAGTTAGTCTTAGACTCAAGTTTAATTTTGATCATATAAATTGGTGTTATCTTGCATGCAGCCAATTGCTACTGAATTTGCTAGGAAACATATCCCTGAAGCAGTGAAACAGATCATTCTTTGGAACTCAGAAGGCAAATTTTGGGAAGTGGTAGTGACTTGGTTTGGATGTCAAAACAAGAGGTATACTCGATTTACAACAGGATGGGGAAGATTCGTTCGTGATAACAGACTCATGAGAGGTGATACTTGCATATTTGAACTTGAAGATGAAAACCATTTGAGTGTTCACATATTCAGAACAGGATCATATGCAAGAAATTAGTTTGAATCAAATCGATTAAGGTTTGATTTATGTTATGTAATTGATCTAAGTTATTAAAGGATGAAACTCTGTGTACATTAATTCATATTTCTGCTTATCATTTATTTCAGTTTTATTATGGATTATGAGAGGCCAAATAAAGCATTCATAAGTCTAAATTTATTTAATACTAAACATAACTATCTTGCATTTCTCTACAAAGAGAAATAGATATCCAATTAAAAAAATAATTTTAAATTTTTATCATTCTTTGAATTAAAAAAAAAATTCACTACAACTTAAATATGACATATTTAGAAATATTTAAACATGTAACTTTTCGAATTCATCTTGTTTTAACATGATTTATGTTGCTTTAATTAAAAAAATATTATTCTATTTAATTTTTAAATTATTTTTTATTACATTTGTAAAATAAGAGGACATTAAAAAAATAATTTTAATAGCAACTAAAAATACTTTTTATATTTATAAAAATTAATAGATGGCTGCTAAATTAATATTTATCTTCATCTCTTTTTCATTTTACTTAGTTTTGTTGTTACATGAGTGTTACTAGCCCTCCTCATCTATTAATTCTACTCAAAATTGATTAGAGATATTACATTGATAATATTTATTAATTTATTATTATATATAAACGTTAAATATTATAAAAAAACATATTATTCAAGTTATTAGTAAAAAATATAATAAATTTAATGTATTGTAACCGTCTATATATTAAATGTTTAAATAGTTAGATGTGAGTAGTTTTTTTAGTACTTAATAATTAAATCACGGTTAACAATACTACACACAAATACAAAATATGCATGTTAAAATTATAAATAATTTTTTTAATTATTGTTCGTAATGTCTACATATTATATATCATTTATAAATAATATTAATTCGCCTCTTTATTCATATAATTTATAAATAGTAATAGTTGTTATTTCTCACATGTTATTTATCTTTTCACATTTAAAATTAATTTTAGTATTAAGTATTTCCCTCTGCATGTTTATTGTTAAAAGTTTTGTTTGATGCTTTTATAATGGAGTAATATTATTTTTATTGATTATTTTCATACCTTGACAAAAATTGTTAAATTTATGATAATTTATTTCATTTGATGAAGTTATATATCATATAATAGTGTATAATATCTTGTGTTGGTTTTTTTTAACACATATTTAATATGGTGCTAATAAATTATTCAAATAATCTATTATGAATTTAAAACATTTTATCTATTTATCTTTCATATTTTCAAGAAATAAATAAACAAGAGATATTTATAAATAAATACTAATTAATTATATAAGATAATATTAATCTCAAAATTTTAAAATATTATATTTGATATTTCTTATTTATATAATTAACGGAATATATATATATATATATATATATATATATATATATATATATATATATATATATATATATAATATATAATATTAAATATATATTAATTTATATTTTTTAAAAATTAAATATTCCGTAATTTCAATATGAATTCAGTTATAACTATATATATATATATATATATATATATATATATATATAATTGAATTCCTATAGTATATCATGACTTAATTAAAAAAATAATTACGTTTTCTATGTTATATGATTTTTGTTATATAATCATTAATACTTTACTCAATTTCATAAAATTTTTAAAAAAATATTATGGAAAAATTGAAATTTTTTATTTGGTAAAAAAAAAATTGATATATTATTAAAAAATTGAAATATTTTTTATTTTGGTAGAAAAATTCACATGTATTCGATGTTAAAATTGAAATATTTTTTATTTTGGTAAAAAAACTAATATTGTAATTAGTTATTACTTTTTTTCACTTATATTTTTATTTTATTACATTTTGGTGTTATATGAAATGATGATGTTGGAGAGAGAAATATATGATTTCTATGATGAGTTAATTATCTTTATTTGATAAAACTAAAAAATGTGTTTATTCTTTCTAAATCATGTTTTTACAAGGATTAATAAATTCCTATGACATTAATTACTCATCAACCTTTACCTCTCAAAATCTTAAACACTTTTGGATTCAATTCAACAACACAAATAATCTCACACTAATTACACTTGCTTTTGACATAGCTAGTCCTTAGAAATTCATCTCAATAAAAAACTTAGAATAAAGATTAGAGTTAAAAAAAAAAGAGTTATATAATGTTTATCTGAAAAATAGATGATTTTTAAACCTGACAATAAACTCAACATTGATAACATCTTCTAAATTTGAAACTCTTGTTACATCTCTACTTCAGATCTACTAATATAATTAAGATATTGAATTTACATTATATTTAAAATATTTAAGTGACATTAAAATCTTACAATAAAATTAATGTGGTATTAAAATTTTATTAATAACATAACATAGAAGGGTAAGTGGTTTAATTTCTATTCTTTAAGCAAATCACATGTTATCTTCAATTTTTGTGGTCCTTCCTGACTTTTCCTCGTGTCGACACGTGTTAAACAATGCAGAGATTTTTTCTTTTACAAAACTTGTTATATCTCTTTTCTTATGATCGTTTACAAATGTAGAAATGGGATAACGACTCTCTTTTCTTGTTTTGTTAACTTCTTTTTTTCTTTTTTTTTTACTTTATGCACACTTTCTTGCTTTACCTATAATGTTTCTGTTTATTAAGCAATAAATTCTGTAAAATAAATAAATTAAGCAATTGGCTAAAGTAAAAACAGAGTTATGGTTTTCATAGAAATAAATTAATTTAAAATTTTATTAGAATGCTACAAAAAAAAAAAGTTTTTCTTGACATATATTAAAAACATTGATTAAGATTTTGAAACAACTCATACTAAAAAAATAAATTAGTGAGAGATGAAGGAAGCACAATAGAATACTATTAACTATATAAAATATTTTAGTGAAATTTAATCTTAACTAGACATGTTTATATATATAATTAAATAGACTAATTTAATGAGGTAAATTAATTTTGAAAAACATGTAAGTGTATCATATATATGATTAAATTATACACATTCTACCATCAAAATGAAGTTCTCTCCCCACAACTCTATGATAAAATAAAAGTATTAAAATAAGTTAAATTATATCTTATAGTTAAGCTTCATATCTAATGTGGTATATTTTTTTGTACAATTTATTTTCGTATACAAACACAATTGTCATAAAAAAAACAAATAAATAAAATATGATGATAATTAGTTAAATTAAGTAATTTTTAAAAATATTTATTAAAAAAGTTATTTTAAATATAATTTTTTTTAAATTATAGCATAATAATAATATTTATAATATCTTAAATTATTATATAATTTTTTTAAATATAATATATTAAATTATAATATTTTTAAATAACTATTTTTTTCAAAAATAATAAAATACTGATCTTATCAAACTTCAATCTAGTATTTTTATCAGAATAAGATGGAGGGATGAAAAAGCAAAAGTGGGAGAAAAAAAATAAAGAGAAAAAAATTAGAATGTAAGTAAAAAAAGATAAAAATAATTATATTATATAATTTTTGTTTATAATTTTTTTTAAATATATTATTAATAAGATTAGTTCTCTTGTTAACTTAATTATTTCATATAATAATTCATGTGAATATAGATAAACACCCTAAATCATTATTTAACTCTCAATTATTAATTTCTCCATCAATGTAATTTTAGTAATCAATAAAATATATCTCCTAGTAAATCATATTATATTATTTATTTACCATTAACCTTTACACTTATATATATCATAATTATGTTTTATACATTTTCATATACATATATATATATATATATATATATATATATATATAATCTCAAAATTTATAATTAAATTGTAAAACCTTAATAATATAATTCACACAATAATAAATAAATAATTATAATAAATAATAAAATATAAAAAATAAAATATTTAAAACATGTTATTTAAATTTTATAAAATACTATTTTTGTTTAACTATCTGCTCTACAAACATTTGGCACAAGCGAAAATAATTTTACTTAAACAGAAATGAATTTGAACCATGTCATTTAAGTGACTAACTTTTATTTAAATGAAAAATTTTACATACATAAAATAATTCATTAAATAGGAAATAAAAATTTGTTATCACAGAATTTTTTTTTCAATTTTTGACTTGTTATATATATATATATATATATATATATATATATATATATATATATATATATATATATTAACTTAACTACTCAATTACTCAAATGAATATACTTGAAAAAACTTAATACACATGACATTTAAGCACATTTACATGTGTTGATGGAAATTTTTCAATTTTCAAACATAAACTCTCTTGTATATGTTACATTTTTACTTTGTGTTTAAATCTATAGAATTATTATTGTTACAGATGAATGAGAGAAGGAATCAGAATGAAAGATTTTGTTTGTATCGACTGATTTGAATAGATAAAAAAGTGTGATTTATTGTGTAAACTTTACCTGCTAACGAGAAAAGATTTAGATAGAAAATTCGATCCACAAAGATAAATTCCTGTATTATTCTTGAATTTAATTCTAATATTCATATATTAATCAATTATAAAAAAATAATTAATCATATGTTGATGAAGATGAAAAATATCTGAAAAATCTTTTTTTATGATGTTAAATGATAGATAGGTAATTAGTATAGTTAATTTGTATAAAGTAAAAAAAAAACTAAAACTTTGAAAGTAAAAATAATCAAATATATTAAGACTCGAAGCATTAATAATCGATTATATGATTTAAAATTAAGTTTTCATAAGACGTGTTAATTATTGATTATGTGGTCACTTAATCGATTATTTATAAAAAAATTGTTTTAACATAATATGCTAATAATCGATTAGATAAAAGGTTAATCGATTATAACTTAAAATTAAGTTTTCATAAGACGTGTTAATAATTGATTATGTGGATGCTTCATCGATTATTGGCAAATATTTTGTTTTAACATAATATACTAATAATCGATTA